TAGTTTAGATATTTTGTGCCTAATTCAACTTTGGCATAAGGAGGAGTGACTCCAAATTATGGAGTCACTCATGCTTACCACTAATAATGGGTAGATTTGGGTCTCTTTGTGTGTCCTTTCTGGAACAGTTTATTTTTCACATGAGGTTTGGCTAAGATTTCACCACGACAATCCTCCCGCATCCCCCAAAAAATCAGAATCTCATTGCTTGTCAGAGCAGATGACATCATTTCAGAATTATCCCAATCCAAACTCTTCACAGGTCAGACAGAATAGAAGCTTTGGCCAAAGAGGAGTTCTTGATGGGTAAAAACACATTTTAATAGGAGGTTTTAATCTTCATTAGTCATAAGATGCTTTTGTAATAGCACAAGTATTTCTGAATGCTAGTTTTCAAAGTTGCTCTACTCTAAACGAGTTTACTTTTCCCCTAAAAAGAATTAAATGTATTCAACTGAGTAGTCGTCAGCAGCCTTTCAGAAAATCTGGAATTCATAGGAGCTCTCCTATGGTTTCCCTTAGTACATAAAATTGTCATTTCTCCCATTGCACTAGAAGACAGGAATGTTATTATTCTAGAAGTTGGAATTTTGGTTTTTAACCATGATCCAAAACAAACGTTTGTGGTTTTTTGGAACCTAACCTGCTTTAAACTCAACATCCTGAAGCTGGAATTAATTGCTCATTAAAACACAAAGAGCTCCTTTTTCACTCCAAAGTAAGTATAGAACCTTTTGACACATTATGGAAAAATAATGCAGTTCTCAACCTTCCTTTTCTCTGTTTGATTTTTAGGTATGGACCTTTGCCAGATACACAATAAACTGCTTGGCCTTTAACACAAAAGGGTATGATTCTTCTTTTTGTAACCTTAATTGGGAACTGACAAAATTCACTACATTACAAAATTGCTTCAATCAAAACCCGTTGACAGATAATATATTAAGGCCTAGTGCACAGATCTGAGTGGAGATCAGATAGCTGAAGAAAGGATTTTTTTCCTTTAATTTTTTGTCAATATATAAATCTAATTTGCAAATGAGGAATAAAAAGTCGTAAGATCTGCTATATACAAGGTATCCTATAGGATATTGTCAGGCTGCTGCAGTTTCCTACAGGTGAAGAACCACACTCGATTTGTAATGAATTATACACAGTCCCTGGAAGAACATGAACAAAATAAGGCTGCAGGAAGAATTTAATGTCCCAGTGAAGACAGGACTGAGGTTTTAAGTAACAGGATAGGTATGAAATCTGTGACACAATCCAAGTAAATCCACAAATAGGTTTTTTATTCTGAGTTTTTCAAACTTTCTCTCTCTCTCCCTCCCACACACATACTTTATTGCCTTGATTGAACATTCGTTTCCCCCCCTTATTTTTTGTTTTGTTTTCTTGTTTGTGAAGCAATGGGAAGGGCAGCACTCATAAAATGTGCCTGCTGTAATTCCCTCCAATTCCTAAAGTGACTGTCCTAAATTCCTATGGCCCATCTCTAACAAAGTTCTCTTAGGATTTGAACAACAGCTCATTTTAAGTCAATGGGACTCTCTAATGGGCTTTGATATTGTCATGAAAATGTGCATTATTTAACGGGTGGGCTATTCAGACGTATACATACGTGCACACACGCACTCACTGACATGGGAACCAGTACACTCCAATAATACACCCACATGGTTACCAGTGGACTTCAGTTTTTTCAATGAAAATAAAACAGCCATTTTTTTCTGGAAAGTATTTATATTTTATAATCAACATCTCCCTTTACTTAACTGGCCCTAGAGAAATAAAGATGTTTCACTTTAAGCCATCTAACCCTTGTGAATCTGGCTTATCATTTTTCCCTAGAGTAATGAAGCTGGAGAGAGAGAGTCTAAAGAGCACGAAACCAAACAGCCACCCAAAAAAACAGAGTAACTGGAAACAATTTTGAAGTTTTATGCTAGATAGTACAAACCGTGCCATATAAATGTATCTCTTTACTTAGACATACTAAAACTGAATTATTCAGCTGTTCCTTAGAAAAAGAAAAAGCAGGCTGAGAAAGAGGGAGAGCAGAAAAAAGAGCGAGGGAGCAAAAATATATACAACAACAAATGAGAAGAACAGAGGAGAATTGAAAAAAACATGGAGGTGGGGGAAGGAATGAAGAGCGACTAGAAAGCTTATTTAAAATGAATTTTTGACCTTATTTTTAAAACATTTATGGATCCCAATTGCCTGTCATGAGATTATGTTCCCTTACAATGCTGGCTTTTCAGCTGGCTCTGCACTTTAACTTGATTTATCCCATTTTTTAAAAAGTAGATTGTTAGAAATACCCTTTCCACCAGAAATTCTGTCCCATTATAGTGTCAGCTAAAGGCCACTTGTCAATGTCAGCTTTGTAAGATAGAAATGTGCGGTGTGAGCTCTCAGACTTATTTTTTGGAGGACAAGCCCTAACGTCCATCTCTGAACCTCCTGCTTCGCTGTGGATAGTGTCTTCTTAAATGATCTTATGTTATTTTCCAATTTATCTGAATGTTTCATTAGCTGGTGTACAGTGATTACAGCAGCTGCTGTACATTAGCAAGACATCTTAAAGGAGAGCTGGCTTAGGTATCATGCTGACTGACAAAAGCATAGTATTAAACTTATCTAGTATTAAAAATACATCAGGAGGCCTCTCTTCTTCTCCAGCTGTGAGAAGAAAAGCCCATAAAGCCCATAACAGCAGGATTTCCTCCTGCTCAGCCGCCTGCTGCCTCTTTAGGGGAGAGATCTGACAAGTGGAGACTAAAGTAAGTTTTTCTTTATTTACAGTGATGGAATTAGTCATCAGATTGTCTTTTTACTGGCGAACAGAGGTTGAGGAAATTGGCTGTTGCTCAATCTGTGTTACCATAACGCTGCCAGGGATCAGTGTTAAAACCAGCAGTGGAAGGGCCCAAATCAGAGGGCTGCTCTTGAACTACCAACAAGTGTGAGGAGAAATGGAGCAGTGGCCACCATTTTTCCTGGTCCAGAATATGGTGCAATACCAAACTGGGGATGGAGAGATTGTGGCAGGCAGGAGATTTCGCTCTTGTATCTTCCCAGTTGTTGATACTTTTTAGAGAAGGTCAGGCACTCAAGGCCTTTGAAACGGTACAAGTGACTTCGACTGGTGGAACTATTTAGGTGTTGCAACAAACTTCAGCCATCAAGGTAAAGTTAGAATTTAGAGCAGACACTATATAGCAGGTCTTCCTCTCAACAAAAACAGTTAAAAATTCATGCCTTAGAAAGAGGAACAGAAACTATCTTGATGCCTCTGATATTAATCAATCTAAGACTGAGAGCTTTAAAGCTCTCTCGGGTGCTTTGATTAAGGACATCTTGCCTCACAGGAAAAAGGAAGCTTTGGAAATCGGTAATCTTTGGGCATTACATTTAATAGAAAAGGCTTAAAAGGGATTACCTATAAGGGACCTTAGTGAATCTTTGGAAATTATATTGGACCATAAATCTGAACCTCTTTGGAGGGGTAATAAAGCCTTATCAGTTTCAGATAAGAAGTGGAAATCCTCAGTCTGCTTTAGGTGCATCATTGGCCAGGTCTGGAGTATCTGCCAAAACACTGATTATTTCTTTAGCCTCTGTCTTGGATAGATAGATATATTTTATTTAGATTATAAATTTGGTTTGTTAAAAGATTTTTTTAAACCAAGAATGGAAATTTAACAGATTCCCAAATTTGGTTCACAACCTTCAAACCCACAGAACAAAATTAATTGCTCTAAGGGATCTTGCTGGGAATGATATTTCTGAAATTCACACATGCGTAATATACACTTGTGATTGCGATAAAGCCACGTTTTGTTTTTTAGGAACACAAAGCACAGTAACTGAAGATTTCAATTTTTCATTCAAACTGATAGTCTGGCAAGTTTGGGGAATACTGGAGACATTGATGATGTTAGTACTTATAAAAATTCAATTATACTTGGGTTTTAAAATGTTTTAAATTGTTACGTTTGTTTTTTAAAACAAAGTTTGAATTTAGTTTAAACTGCACCACGAATGGCAGCATGATAGAGAGTTGCATGTCTGAACATTGATTGGCCTTATTTATTTTTAGAGACCAAGCGCAACCCTGAAATTCTTGTCCAGGCAGAACTCAGAGAGCTGCAGGCCCCCATAATGGTCTCCTATGATATTAAGATATTCCATATATTTAAGGCATCAGAGGAGTCAGGAGCACTGGATTCTATTGCTGGCTCTATCCCACACTGGCACGGTATGCCCTTGGGACAGTCACAGCACTTTGTTCTCCAGCATCCCTAGCTGTAATATGGGGAAAACGGAATTTTCCTACTAGACAGCTGTGTTATTAAACTTAATTCAATCCTATTGGTAAACCACTTAGAGATCCTCTGAGTGAAGGCTCTATGAAAGGGCAAGGTATTAGTTTCTTCACTTAAAACGTGAAACAAGGGGAGGCAAGGGAAGTTTTTGGCCCGGACTGTTAATGGCCCTGGCACAGGTGTGCAAGGGGAGGGTGAGAGTAACCTTGCCCCCCACACTTGCGTCTCCTCATTCCCATGCAGCAACCAGGCACAATTTGAGTCTGTGTTCTCCTAATCCCCACGTCACCCCAAAGGGAAACAGCTTGACGAGCAGAGGGACCGTACTGCATCCTGCTAAGAGACCTAGTGCCGCCTTGTGTGCCTGAATGTTTTGGGAGGAATCATGCAGGCTGGGACCACCTGCAGCGAGTTGCCCCAGGGATGGGGCAAATCTGGGCCAGTGCTTACATCTAACAGTGGATGGACATGACAGCATTGGAAATGACTCACTTTAGTAGAATTTAAATTATATAAATGATTTGTTTGATGGGCTGAAGTTACTTACAAAACCCAAATAGTCATGTTAAACTGATACAGAGACACAGTATCTGGAAAACAAAAACAAACCAGCCAATGTCTTCTGCAAGCTTTCTATACTTCAAAAAGATTTGCTGGATAGCAACCTACCCAGTGCTGATCATAATCAGATGACCGTGTTCTCATCTCATCATCCTCGTAGAAAGGTAAACCGTCTCGCCTGGCCTGATGGTATTCCTTCCGTAGCTTCTGGATACGGTCTGCATTCCCACCAGCTGGACAGCCACTGGAAAATAAAATAATAAATTACATATGTACACTCCCCACCCTCCATATAATGCTGATACCAATGTGATGAACTCTGACCCTCTCACCTGTACCCTGCACAGGCATTTCTATGAACAATGACCAATGGCTACCATATTTAAATAAATAATAATAATCAACTGCCACAGAAATATTTACTTTGTCACTCTAACTACGGAATTTTCCCTGAAATTGCGTATGACTGAGGTAAGTAGCACTCAGACCTGGAGCAGTATACACTTTCTGGTCTGATATTTCATGAGCTATCAGGGCTAGGAACAAAAAGTTCTATACCATAAAAAAGGCGGGAATCCCACTCTCAATTACAGAAAGAACTAAGGTTCCAGCCTTGAGAAATGGTGGGGGAGTCAAACTATAAAATGGGAATATTATTACATATGGAAGAGTAGCATCTGGTACTTTTAAATGTTTGTAAAATGTATTCAACCCTAATACTGCAAAGACTTATACATGCTGAACTTTATGCACTGAGAATAGTCGTAATCAAGTCAATGGAGCGACTGACAGCGCGCGAGTTCAGCACATGCGTAAGTCTTTGTAGGATTAGGGCTGAATACATTTGACAAACATTTAAAATGATCAGATACTACGTTCCCATTTATAATAATGTCACTATTTTGTAGCTTGACTTTTTTTTTCTTCCCCTATTTCCCAAGGTTGGAACACTAGAAGCACTGTCTGCATATCTATTTTTAGAGCACTAGCGCAAGCCTCGCTAGTCCGAGTCTATGGAACTCTTCTAAAATAGTTTTTCTGTAATGTATCGTATACGGCAAATGCAGACTACATGGCAGAATAAAGGTTTTATTGGCACTTATTTGAGACGTGTGCCTAATGCCTTTGCAGTAATGTGGTCACCCCAAACTCATACGAACAAAACCTTAATATTGAGGCACAATCATATATTCTCTTATCCTGCAACCTTAACTCTTCCATTTTGTGTGTACGCAAAACAATAAAGATGCTAATCACGTAAGCACATGGACCATGCATAGATGTGCCAGGGCACAGTGTAGGGAATCTTCACCCTCGATTTAGCAAACCCCAGAGTCAACCCAAATTCACCTGCAGGTTGCAGTGATAAGATTCAACAGGCAAATATAAGCTAAAGATGCTTTTGAAAGAAAAGTTACTCATTTAATAAAGGCAGACCTCAGCAATGTGCCCTATTTTATCCATAACATATAAACAATAAGCATAGCTTTTGAGGGTGAAAAAATCCTGATTTTTCTCTCTAGCAAAACATTTAAAGAGATTCCTGCTTTTTAAGGCTCAAGTCCCCCTCTTTATATTGGGAGAGAACTTAGAGCTGTGCTAGTGTAACATAAAGCAGTCTCACTCACTCTGGAGAAATGTGAGATGAATATGATGCCTTCTCCAATGCTCATGCAACAGTTCTGAATTTCAACTTGGCTCCTGACAATTATGTGAATATATGAACCACATTCAAACTCACCAGATGAATTCAATCAGTGCTGTGCAAATATCGCATACATAATCTATTAGTTTACCCCCAAAGAAACTGAAGCATTGAATTCAGAGAGAATGAAGTCATCAGTAATAAAAAAAAGAAACCGATAAGGCAATATTAAAAAAATCCACAATTTTCCGACATTTGCAGGGAAGATCATATGTTGCCTGTAAACTATTCTCCCATCTGCCTATAAATACATAATTAAAAAATATGGGTTTGATCAGATAGCAGTTCTCAAGTAGGAGAACAGTAGAAGAATACCAATTCAAATGCTTAGAATGCATGTCTGCTTATGCTGAAAAGAAGCCTGACCTTACAGAAGAAATATAAAAACAATGTCCCAATCAAAGTCAATTTATATTAAATAAACCCATTGGAAATACTCATTTAGGCTTGTGAGTTCAGAAGACAGAACTATTGCAGGAGGCCAACCTACAATTTGGTGCTCACATCCTGAAAGAGCTAAAAATGACCACAGACATTGCCACTTACACAATTTAGTGCCTAGCTAATTTAATTGACTTAGCTTCTCACACAATAAGCTCTTCACACATAGAGTTACACAATACACCTGATCACACACATTCACACAAAAAATTTAAGAAGGCTACAGAGTTGTCACCTGTTGAGAAAAGATTTCAAGTGAACCACCCACTCCATATAAAGCCAGAAGACTTTGTAGCAGATTTCAGAATGATTTTCATGAATTTAATGCGATTGAATTAGAAGTGGCTGAGGTTGGCATGAATCACAGAATCATTGAAATGTAGGCCTAGAAGGAGTCCCCTGCACTGAGGCAGAACAAGCTAAGCCTAGGCCACCCCTGACAACCTCTTCTTAAATACCTCCAATGATGGGGCTTCCACAACCTCCCTTGGAAGCTTATTCCAGACTTAACTGCTTGAAAATTTTTCCTAATATCTAACCTAGATCTCCCTTGCCACAGATTAAGTCTATTACTTCTTGTCCAACTTTCAGTGGAAATGGAGAACAATTGATCTCCGTCCTCTTTATAACCGTCCTTAACATTTTGAAGACTCTTATTAGCTCCCCCCACAGTCGTCTTTCCTTAAGACTAAACATGCCCAGTTTAAACCTTTCCTCGTAGGTCAGGTTTTCTAAACCTTTTAACATTTTTGCTGGTTTCCTCTGGACTCTCTCCAGTTTGCCCACATCTTTTCTATAGTGTGGTGCCCAAAACTGAACACAGTACTCCAGATGAGGCCTTCCCATGGTCGAGCAGAGCAGGACAATTACCTCCAGTGTCTTACACACACATCCCAGGATGATATTAGCCTTTTTCACAATCGCATCACATTGCTGCCTCTCATTCAATTTCTGATCCACTATAACCCCCAGATCCTTTTCAGCAGTACTACCACCTCGCCAGTTATTCCCCATGTTGTAGTTGTGCATTTGACTTTCCTCTCCTAGTACTTGGGTTATTTGGACTTTTGTTACCCTGGAAGAATACTGTGACAATCATCCAGCTGGAGAGTTGAGCCACACGACCCCCCTGGGAGACTCAGTAAACCCTGGCCACACCTCTTAGGGGAGAGTGCTAGACAGAGGATCTGCACCCCAAGGGTGTGCCTAGAGCCTCCAAGATAGGCACAGTGCATGGACTCCGTTCAGATTCCAGAGGCCTAAGACACCTGGGGATTCAGTGGCTGGATCCGCTCACAGCAGTCTGAGTGGCCAAGAGGAGGTGCTTGACTAGATTTGTGTCTCTGCACACTGCAAAATTACAAACAAATGTAGCATGTAAGGACTCAGCTGAATCCTTTAAAGACATACATATATTTCTAAAAGGCAAAGAACATTTGGTTTCCAGTGGGTTTCCTAAATGCATTAATATTGCAAAGCTCTTCTTTTCGGCCGCTTACCTCAGGATCTAATTTTCCTCAGTTGACTGGCAGCCTATAAGCAACTCGTGATTACATTTTAATTCCCCCCCCAACAATTATGAAAAATGAATACTTGCTGAAGCTTTCATTCACAAATGAATAATATACAAAACGAATCTCATGTTGATTCAAAAGAATGGGCTGAATCTTCCATTCACTTCCTATTATAACACAAAACTAATTATATCAAAGCTACTGAAAATAATTTATTGCCTTGAATATACATATAGAATATAAAGAAACAATACACCACACTGCAGATTAGTACTGTTCATCTATGGTACCTCTCATTTAAGAAGTCAAGACCACAAAGCATTTCAGAGGATACAATATGGTGCCAGCATTTATCTCCCTACACTGAAATGTTACGTTGTTTATCAAAGTGTTTTAGCAACCTCAATAATAGGGGGGGAAGAGGAAAAAATGGTTGAAAAAATGACAAAGAAAATCCATAGTCAGAACATAATTCTACAATATTTCAACGTCCATCTTTGTCAGCCACCGAGAAAGAGAGAGTTTAGGAAGCAATGAGCTTTTGTTATTGACATCTGCACTTGAGTAAATGAATGATATTCCAATAAAAGGCTTGTCAGAAAAATTCTCATTGACAATTCCAGAACCTGCAAGATAATAAAAGTAATGTCTTAAAGGTTCATAGAGCCACAACTCAAGTTTTAGGAATATACATCAGGCACTGACAACCAAATCTGGGAAATATAAATCTTTAGCGTTCTGAGCTATGGAAATTCCCTGAGCTTGATGGACTCTGCAGCACTTACCTTTCTGCTCTGAGCAGGAAGGTACCTTGTGTGTATGTAATTACAGACTTCACCAGTGGAAAAGGGGCCACAGCAGGATGCTTCATTTGGCAACTGTGAAATGCTTGTCAGATCCTGGGAACAGAGTCTGTGATTCCGCCTAACCATCTGAATGGGGATATATTAAGAGGTGTGTGCATAGACAGGTTGATAGACAAGTAGCAGATAGATACCGAGAAGCATACACCTCTCTATATCTAGAAACGTACACAGATACATCTCAAGCTGCATGCATACACAGATAATTAGAGAAAAACCAAATTAGAGATAACTTCCTTTATAAGTTTAAGTCTACATACTAAAATTTCTGACGAGCATCCTTGAGTCATAATTTGCTCTACAATACCTAAAGAAAAAGTCATAAAAGTTACTCAGCTGCACATACGTTGTCACCTTTCAACTCTGCAGAGCAACATAAAAGCACTACAACCACTTATGTCCAAAAGGTCAAAGACTCCTAAAGCAGCACATGACCATCATTTGTCCGGATGTAAATTGAGCCCGACTGACCTTATAACATCATCGCTGACCCTTTGACATTAGGAGCTTAGTGGATAGAAGGCAGATAATATTCCTAGGCTCCTGTGGATTCATTTTTTTTTAAAGTTTTCTCTCTTTCCTATCCTTACCAGGGCAATTAGCTGTATAATTAACCCTTTCCTGCCCAAACCAGCTGACAATGTATTCACAAGAACCTCGCAGAATTATTTGAAGACGGAGACTGAGAGATAACTTTTATCAAAACTGTTTATAAACCATCTCTCTGTGACTGGACATGAAGCATCTATTTATTGTCCCCCCCCCTTCTCGTGACATGCAGCACCGTTTCTTATTTGTGGTGGCAGATGGCCCAGCCACTCAGGCGAGGACCATCTCTTCATTCAGGGCCACATTTTGTCTCCATCCCTGTTCCTTTTACAACCTGTAGCTGGCTATCACCATGTCACATGAAAATGGGAAGTCAGCCTCCTTTTGCCTTAGAAAAACAAAGCTGGCATACCAAAGGGTTAACCTCATCATGAGCAGGTATAAAAGGGAGAGACATATGTAATTCCAATTAAAACAGGTTATTTGTGATCAAATGGGAGAGAAAGACAATTTTTTTTTAACATTTCTTGTGCATAACAAGCATGTATTCTTTGTGATGGAAAGGGATTGTTTTGTTCTGCTCAGTTTATTATGCCTGTTAGGGGGAAGCAATCACCAGATTTTAATTAATATAAAAAAAAAGGTGGCTTACAGTTCAGTCTAGTTAGTGGTAATGCCTGAGTTTCTGGCATGTGAAACAGTTTACTTCTGTCTTGTTGATCTGAGATGTGAATGTGTCTCAGAAGGGTTAGGAAGAGCAGACAGATTAGGGACTCGGGTGCTGATTACAACTGAACTCTCCATAAACAATACACAGTAAAAATAATGAAAAACAGATTTTCCTGGTATTGTCAGTAGCCTCTAGACAATGCAACAGTTTCTGGTTTCTTCGGTAAAGATGATATCAATTATGCATTTTATCCATCATGATAAAGTCACGTGCTAGGCATAATTGAGGGCCTTCTCTCTGAGGTAATTTCTTTTGGATTTATAAGGCAAAGTACTTAAATTGCCTTTTTTGGCACTTTGTATTACAACAGGGTTTTGTTCTTTTATTTTACTGAAGAAAAGCAGCTGGCATATTTGCAATGTATAGGTCACACCAACACAGAGTGCATGTTTTCAACCCTCCCACACCATTTACAGCAGCTTTAACAATTCAACAAAGCAAATGCTGAATGTTAAATCATTGCAAGGAAATACAGTTACATTTCTTAATGGCTATCGCACCTGTATGTAATTGGCAACTAGGTTTTTTTTATTTGCACACTACTGCTTTTCTGCACTTGAGTTTACTAACCTTTTTTTAAAAAGGCAGAAAAATTAAATAAAACACCTTGAAGACTTCTAGGAAGAGCCCCCCAGCAAGCCACTTACTACAAAAAACAAAAGCAGGATAGATACTGGGTGACAGTACACTGCAGCATTCATTTCTGAGCTCCCATGTGATGTACGAGATGGAGGATCTGAGAACTCAAGCATAGTGAGCAATGCAATCCACATCCTAAAATATATTTTGCTGAAAACAGCAAACCCAGAGTTGACTTTATCTATTATGTCAAAGAAAGCACCTCTCCAAGTTCTTCACAAGGGACTACATTCCGCTCTGTTACACACATGCAAACCCATGCTACTTGTAGAGCAGCGGGAACTAATTCACTGTGTGGATTCTTTCTACAATACCTGGCCTAAGTAGAAAATACTGAACATTTTAAATGTCATCAGTGAAGTTCCCTAAACTTAAAATTACAATTCACTGAGTTTGTAACCCTGTCGAAGAAATAATGGACTCCTCTCTTCTTTAAAAAAAATTATTTATACCCTGCCCAAAATGTCAGGGGTGGGGAAGGGACGATAGATCATATGGTCAAAATGCATCCTCATTATAAAGTGGTTTTTTTAATGGATGATCACTACTGGGATAACATTAATCTAGTATTAGGACTTTTACGGGAAAAAAATACAAATGTAATTTATCTCTTTAACTGTCAGCTGCATTTCTAGAGCTTTAAAGTCTGTAGCTTCCAGGGGCCTTTTGTCTTTCTGCCATGGCAGGAATATCTTGGACAGCTGTAAGAGCTTTGTAAGCTATCTTTCTCAAAATCCATTAGCTAATTCAAGGAACCTAATTAGAGCTGCCATTTTGATGGAGCATACTGAATGCTTAGTACAAACTAGTAACACCATCAATGTTTATTAAAAATCACAAGAACCAAAGCCCTCAGTTCCATATAAATATTATTAATGGACAAATACACAGTACTTATTAAAACACACATGGTGTTAAATATCTATACAAATATACCTACACTAAGACTACACACACGACCAGATGGAAAAAATATATTCATAAATACTGAAAAATGGAAGTAAAACCTAAGGACTATTTTATATAAACTGTTGAAAACTAAAGTTGCCTCCTTTGGCGATATCGAATGTGCATTAAAGAAAGCAAAGCAGGCTAAGAATGATCTATTTCTCATGTTTTTACTGAGCGGCATGCTGACAATTTGGAAAGAATTTTATGCTTCCCTCAAGAATGTTCCCCAGCTGGAGCCATTTCCTAGCTTCTCTTACATCAGCCACTCCAACTGCCATACTGTGCAGACGTTTACACATAGTCCAACATTGCCCTGGTTAGGGCATCCAAAAATTTAAAGGGAATTTGCACTGTTGAGCTGAAACTGAATTTTGCTGCTGACAGCAACGAAAATGGTAAAGGGAGCCAACAAATAAAGACATCTGGAGTAATGCTCTCCTACGCTTCACTGTATAACAAGCCAAATATAATGAAAGAACAAATCTGGACTATTGAGACAGTAGTGGATATACGGCCCACTCCTAAGAAATCAGAGATCTAATTAGGTTAGGATGTACTCTCATACACCTTACTGTGTAAATAAAGATGTTATTTGGAGACTTCATGGCCTTGTTTTCAATTCAGAACCCTGACAATCTGAAATACAGAAGAGCTGATATTACTTGTTACTCTTTCCAATTTGATGTGCATCTTCACATACATCTAATTCTACTTTTATGTACAACCAACCACGTGAAAAGAGAAAATCACATTTTCTATAGAAAGACAATAGATATTCTTAAGCCACCAGCATGTGTAAGGTGAAAAGTGTAAACCTTACAAGGAAGAATATAATATTCTAACTACAAAACAAAGAGGAATAGTGTAAATAGCAAATGAAATAGCTTTTAATGTATTTCATTAGCTGTCAGTGCAATGTGTGGCAAGAGAAAACGATACTACGTAGTATCCACACATGCTAGAATAGCCCTTAGAAACATGGGGCTTCTTATTAGAGATGCATTTACAGGAAATCTTTGGAACATCCCAGGTCTAATATAATGATCCAAAATTCACTCATCTTAAATATATCACTGAAATGATACAAGAGGGTTTTAATATAGATGCAACATGGATGTTCAAAATTACACTTAATACATAGGGTGGGCTTAAAAGAGTTACTTTCTTGGGGAAGCTGCAGTTCAAGGGACTAAAATCTCTATTGCAATACATTAGCTCTGCCATGGGTGGTGCAGCAAGACAAATTCATTTTAGCTGTCAAAATGATATGGTCACATTTTCAAGCTATGGCTCACATGTATGCATTCTCACAGGTGTGCACATGATAGACAAAGGGCCATGTCTGCAACTGAGGCACAAACAGATTTTACACATGTAAGATCTAAACACTGTCTCTTGTGTGCACAAAAGCTAGCGTGCAAAGTTGCACATGCACGTTTTCTAGACGCATCTTAGTTTACATCAACAAAGACTGACATATCTCAGGGGATAAAATGCACTTTATGGTAAATTCTGTAATTTAAAAAAGGGTTTGATTGGAACTGCATTTTGGCCAAATATTTCAAACCTGGAGGCCCTAATGTTTGATGTGCACTGAAGGTTTGCAAATTTGGCTTCTACCTTTCCCCCTCATTTATATATAGGGCACGAACAAGGCTCTGCCATTCCTGGGCATTCCTGTCTGGGCTACTCTTTCCATGTCCTTTATGTTGTTAAGTCCCAAAAGTTTTCCCTCTCTAAAAGTACTGTTTGATGGATGGATTCTTTCGGCTGGCCCCTTTTATGTGTTCCTCTACCTGCCCAACGGCACATCTGCCCTGACAGATGTTCTAGCTTCATTCTTATATATAGTTATTATGACAATGTTAAATTAAATCAGGCGG